ACAACAAAACTAGATAACCCTACTAATCAACTACTATCACTGCCTCAACCAGACAATACAGTACAATCTTAATCTCCCCAAGTTTTTTGCATTGAATTAATATATAATTACGACAGATATACCAACAAAACAATTGGTTACACATCTTCTTACAACACCTTTCTCAGACTATAATGTATCTTTTGGTATTAATGCTATTAAAGATATTTTATCTCTTAAAAGTTACACGACAACCCACGCCACGAACAGGACCACGGGTCTCCTAGTAATTCTAGAAACACAATCTGATTGCGAAGATAATCAAGAAAAAAACATTAAACGAATATGCAAAAAAACCAAGTTACTCAATGTGAATCAGAACCACAAGCAGTAGAGAAAACAAATGAATTCGCCATATTATATTCCAAAGCCCGCGCTTCATTAATTGTAGGCTGGAATTTCACCGGCAACTTTTCTGAACAGTAGGCACACTGTTCACAAGTTTCCAACAAAAAAAAATAGACTTGATCATGGATCACACCACCATTAGATCTTAACCCTGAAGACTGAAAATACGAACAGCAACGTTTACAATAGTCAACAATAAAGAACAAATTCGAACACTCGTAATCTTTCATATCTTTCAGACTCAACTCGTCAACATCAACATGAACAAAGTCAAGATCAATTACGACATGACAATAAATATCCCTGTCATGGCGCAGATAGACGATTAACCTATGACCTTCACAATAAAAACTGGAATCCTCTTATGAGTACAAATAATACATCAAAAGGTAAAGCTAGAGCAAAAAAACAGGATATCAAAAATTAAGGAATTTGAAAGGAAAATACAATTGGACAAGTGGACTAATAAATAAAAATTTATTATACAATATTATGTCAAGGGCATCTCTTATCAAGTAAAACTAATCAAGGGTAATGAGATCCCACGTTTTGCACACAAGCAACCATTGTTTGGTTTCCTGAAGACACTTGCACCACTTTCCAAGTAGTTAAATCCAAGCACGAATCATAGAAAATTGACCAACATTTTTCTAAGAATCAATATTCTTTGATCAAGTAAACCCACAAAAAACCAAAGGAAACCCACGCAAATGCCAGGCATTGAAAATAAATTAACACGCTTTCAAATATACTCAGAAACTGATTTTGAATGTAAATAATTGTAATCACTACTCACAACCTAATGTTCAGCAATTCTGTTCGAATTTGAAACAAATACGATTTAAAAACAGGAAAATTTATCATTCATAAAGCAGCAACAAAAAAATGCGACGATGAAAGTTTTTACAAAACTGTCTCAATTCATAAGAACAATGGACAAACTGCTGGAAAATTATTTCTAGAAAGCTGTGATAGCATACATCTCCAAGAACTATCATTCTTGAACCACATAATTTTTGGAGCAAATCACTGTGACATATATGACACTTGGTTACACTCAAACCTCATTGATACGAAGGAAAGATACGTTGGTACCACACATGCACGAAAATAAATTCACCTTTATTTGTTTTTTCTGATGGACGCTGCTATCAGAGAATACTTATTTTCGACAAAAAAGTAGTTCATGTTGTAGACACACTCTCACGACGCACAATTTTTTGGATGTCATCGTCCCATGTGGATCTAAGTACAGCCACAACCTAGTACAAATAAATCCCTGAGAAATTGATGCTATTTTATCACAAAATAACGAAAACTGCTGCAACGCTAACAAAATTTACACCAGAAAACATACGCGCAATAGACAGAAACTCCAACATTGATTTACAATCAATTGGAAAATACTCAAAGTCCGACATAAACATCACATCGGAAGACAACAACTTCAAGAATTTCTCAGCAAAATAGATACAATCCAACGACAATCAATAGATCAAAAGCTGAGAAAGCTCGCTGAAACGGCCGGTAACACTTTTTTAGTGCAAAACTATTCAGTTCCATTTTGCTTTTGATTCCATTAAGTATTTATTTTTATGCAGAGCCGCAGATATTTTTAATTTCGATCTGAACATTGTTCGTTTTTAAGCCCAGTTCAACTTTTTCTCCAGTGAGAGCTTTTTTTTTGCGTTTAGTTGCTGTAAAAGCTAAATATGGTGAAATTAAGCAATGAAGCTATGCAACTAAAAACATTGTTGTTGTTGTCCAATTGTATCTTTTTTGATAAATCACAAAGCAATTTTGTGCAAAATCTTTTTCGCTCGTCTTTGAAACGACAAATTCGAGTAAAAACGTTGAGTTAAAAATTGAATCTCCGTTTTCTACAAAATGATTCCTAACAACTACACGTTTTGATTTCCAAATTCTGTCTAACGCTTTTTTGACATGAATTTATAAATTCCGTTTTTGATGCCGTCGAATTTAGCTGGTTTTTGGCAAAAAAAATGTAAACTACTACAAGAAATTTTGTAATTGGCTCAGAGGATCCCTTGAAGATAGACACGAATCATTTACCAAACAGTCGTACGCGTGTTGTACGAAAAAACTAGCATCACATAATTGATTTTGAATTTCATTGACACATTAATTGATTAACACTGTGCCTAGTACAGTTTCGTGTTGCACATCTCTGTCATTTGCGATCCATTCTAAAAAAAACTCGATCAACTTTATCTCTCTGGACTCGTTAAGTAGTTTTCTATCAATTTATTGGTTTTTGTTGAAAAACCTAGACTGCGTAAAATTTTCACTTATCGTTCAGGAGAAATAGAGTCAAACGGTTTTGAATGATCCAACAGAGCAGCATGCACAATTTTTTGGAATCTTTTTATTTTCGAACACTTTCTTTGACGTAGATCAGAGCGTTTTGCGTCGAAAATATGTGTGAAATGCAAACTGGAAAGGAGTCTAGATCTGATTTTTTCCAATTATTTTGTGATTTGAGCATGAAAAGTCTTCTGAATTATTCTAGAAAATGAGCAGATTTTTGAAATTTACTGAATGTTTTCAAGGTTTATTGGGTATTCTTCTTTGAATAGTGGTGTTATCTTTGCTTTTTTTTGTTCGAAGGGAAATATTTTTCATCTATACATGTGATAATTACAAAAGTTAGGTGCAATCCACTTATTGATTGGCCATCCATGATTGCGCACGCAGGTACAGTAGACCGTCCAAGGTTATTTCTGATATTTAGTTCTCGGAGTACTTCATAGCATTGGTTGATTGTTTTATGCTGAAATTGGAAAGGTGAATATTCAAACATACAGGAGTTACAAAACTGTGGTTTAATAGCAGATAAATTACGTAATTAGAAAAACAAAATTGAAAAGATTAACACTTTTAATATCCTAGGATAACCTTTTATTGAAGGCATTACGTAAGGCCGTTATGGTTCAATTACTGGAACTGGAACCTCGAACCTGGCTTAACAATTTCCATTTTAGCTGAACAATTTAGAAATGAGAAACAATTTTGCATATTTTTTCTTGCTTATCTCTTATTCGTTTGGTTCGTCGATCAAGGCGTTTTCGATAGTTTGGCGAGTTATCATTTGACTGCTGTTTTTGATATATTGAAAGTGAATCTTGTTTGTTTTTCTTTCTTTCTTTGCGTTTTGACTCGAACCATTCCGTCATTTTTTGCTTTAAAACTACGAATAGTTTTTTTTTTCGAATGGAGCATGTTGGTGAAGAGCACTTCCTGTGAGTGATCGAGCGAAAAAGCAAAAATGAATCAAGGGAGTGATCTCCACTCATTTTTTTCAGTTTTTTGCTTTAAAGGAAGTTGCTTTAAAACTACGAATAGTTTTTTTCGAATGGAGCATGTTGCTGAAGAGCACTTCCTGTGAGTGATTGAGCGAAAAAGCAAAAATGAATCAAGGGAGTGATCTCCACTCATTTTTTTCAGTTTTGCCGAGAATGTTACTTGTTGGGAGTTTTCTAATTTAGTTGGGTAGTTATTTCACAGGTATTTGCTGGAATTAGATAATTACTTAATGAATTGCACTACAAGCTGCACACTCATATCAGAAAGATGCAGTCCATCTGTAGTGACAGCATCAGTGTTCTGTATACAAGTTTGTTAATGTCTAAAATATTGAATTTTACCTGAGCCTTTAAAATTTTTGAATGAATTAGAAATCTGCTTGTTATGCTTCTGTGCATTTGTCTTAAAATCCTATTTAAAAGCGCGCCAAGCGATCACTGTACATATGGATTTCGATTCGGTGGAGAATTTATAATTGATTAAATATATGTTTTCGAAGATACAGTTTCCTTCGCATCAAATTCGTTAGACAAGCTGTTGTTAATTCCAGTAAGTGTAAATTTGTTTGAAGTAGCTTGATTTGCTATTTTTCACACGCTTCGTTAATCCAGGTTTTTAGTCCTCCAAAACCTTTTGCCAAAACTGTTGTTAGATGTCTGCTCGTCATTGATTCTGTCGACAATTGAATCAGGGTGTGAATAATGCAAATCAGGGTATTGAATCAAGGTATGAATAAATGTTTTTTTTTTTACTTTTTGTTAATTACGTTTTCTTGGTATTGTTCATTCATTTGTTTTCCTAGTTTCGAAAACGATTCTCGACGTTTTGTTTACTCAGCAGCTTTAGTCTCAATTTTTGTCAGCTATTTTGTCATGCTATGTGTGTGATGTATCGCAAGTAGCGATGTTGAAATTATCTTATGTTTTCAGTGGTGGCCAGTCAATAAGTAGAATGGTGTAAGAGCAGAATGGGTCCAAGAGCAGAAAAACAGAAAAATATCAACTTTTATAAGGTAATCGGTAAATTAGTTATCCAAAATGTCAATAATACCAACGCAACGAACATTTTATGCATAATTTGAGTAATTTAATCAAGAATTCAAAAAAAAAATTTAATATAAAAACTTAATGAAATTAGACAATTCATGCGTAATTTATTCGTTTTCTTGGTATTTTGACGATTCTAATAATTTTTTCAGCAATTAGCCCGTATAAACCAATATAAGTCTTTTTTTTCTGTTTTTCTGATCTTGGACCCATTCTGCACTTGGACCATTCTGCTTATTGCTCCGCCTCCGTTTTCAGTGATAAGTTATCAAAATTCTTTTTGCAGGTAAGATGTTTTCAGTGGGTGTTAAAATATCTGGACTTGATGATTTCATCGCACCTTCGCAAGATTGTATTAAACCCGCTGTGGTTGAGAATAAAATTGTAACTGGTGCTAAAAGAGGTACAATCAAAGTTGAATCAGATGGAACCTACAAGGAGTTATCATCAAATGGAGATGAAGTGCTGCTTCAGAAAGCTAAAATTACGCTCAATGATTGCTTAGCCTGCTCTGGGTGCGTGACGACCGCTGAGACGATGTTGATAGAGCAACAAAGTTACTCGCAGATTTTAGAGTCTTTGAAGTGAGTTTTTCTGGACTGTTTTAGTTTAGTTAGTTTAATGTTGCTTCTTGCTAAAATTTTGACACCTAAAATATTCGGTACAAGTACGTTAGGTCCCAGGAAAAAAGCTAGTATGAAAGAGATGCGTACAGCAATTTAGTCAAAACTTCAGAAACACAATTAAACAACTGCAAACTATGTTTTCGAAAATTTGAAGACCTGAAAGTTTTCCTTCAGGGACCCATCTAAATTCAAAGGACCCAACTATCATACTTGTACCTATCTATATATGATTCAATTGAGCGAGATATTTCCGGCAAGGTTTAAGCCAAGTTTACATGTTTAAGAATTATACGCTATCTGTACATGTTTAGCTATAGGCAAATAGGTTTAAGCGCTTCTGCTAACTTGCGGTTTTTCATCTGGCATTGGTTTTGCCCCTTATCACCTTATCAATTATATATATAAAAGAGGGCTTTACTATCTCGCCATGTTTAAGCTTTTTCAACGTATTGTTTTTGCATGTTTAACAACAGAGTTTTTTCACGTTTAAGCTATATCGTAAATCGCAATGGTTAAGGTTTTTTTTTTCAATTTTCCAGTTTAAATTCAGTGTTTATTTTATCCAGTTTGAAATTGGCAACCCAATAGTAGGATATTGTCAGAGTTTTCCCAGGTTTTGCGATTCTGGCCTCCATATATGAATAACCAAATCCTTTTAGTTTACGAGATAGGCAATTTTCGAGATTTTTCAAAAATTTCTAGAAAATTTAATTTAAAAAAATTTCTCAATTTTTGAAATTCTCACCCTATAGTTGGGTGCTCTCAGGGTACTCTCAGGGGTTGCGAATCTTGCCTCTAATTCTCACTTCTGAAATCCTTGTAGTTTTCGAGATATGACGTTTTTTATGATTTTTCAAAAATTTTCAAAAACTTAGATTTTAAAAATTTCCAAAACTTTGAAGATCTCAATCCTGTTGTTGGATATTGTGAGAGTACTCTCAAGGGTTGCGAATCTTGCCTCTGATTATGGCCGCTCAAATCCTTGTAGTTTTCGAGATGTGACGTTTTTTTGGATTTTTTTTTCAAAATTTTTCAGAAAACTTAGATATAAAATTTTTTTTACAAAAATGAAATTACCATCTCTGTAGTGAGACTATGTCAGGGTAGTTTCAGGAGTTGCGAGTTTTTTCGCCAAGTATGACTGCTCAAATTTTTTTAGTTTTTGAGATACGACGTTTTTTTATGATTTTCTCCGAAATTTTCAAAAAAACCTTAAAAGTTAAAAAGTTCCAAAAGTCTGAAGATCTCAATCCTGTTATTGAAAGTTGTGAGGGTGCTCTCATGGGGTTGCGATTCTTCTTTCTGATTATGTTTGCTCAAATTTCTGTATTTTTCGAGATATGACGTTTGTTTTAGGTTTTTTTTTTTCAAAATTTTTTTTAGAAAACTTAGGTATAAAAAATTTCACAAAACTTGAAATTTTCATCTCTGTAGTGACGCTCAATCAGGGTAATATCAGGAGTTGCGAGTTTTGCCTCCCAATTTGACTGCTAAAATCCTTGTTATTTTCCAGATATGACGTTTTTTGTGATTTAAAAAAAAAATCATGAAAATTAAATTAATTTTTTTTTCTTTCAAAGTTTGAATTTCCTAAGCTGTAGTTGGGGGGCTGTCAGAGTATTAATCTCAGGGGTTGCAAATTTGGCCTCCAATTAAGAATGCCCAAATCATTTTTGTTTAAGAGATACGGCGATTTTTTGTGATTTTTTTTTGGAATTTTTCAGAAAACTCATTACAAAATAATTCGTTTAAATGAAATTCTCAACCCTGTAGTTGTGTACTTTTAAAGATTTTGAATATTGCCATCAAAAAAGACTGCTCAAATTTTGGTAGTTTTTTGAGATGTGACTACCTTTTTTTAAGAAAACTTGAGGGGAAGTTTCTCAAAATTTGAATTTCCCACCGTTGTAGTTGGGTACTGTAAGAGTACTCTCAGGAGTTGCAAATCTTGCTTCCAAATGCGACTGCTCAATTGCTTTCAATCTACCAGATGTGACCTTTTTTAGATCATTTTAAATTTTTTGAACTATATAAAATTTCACAAAATTATGTGGTTCTTCAAAATTTGTATAAAAAACTTCAATAAAAAACTTTGGAAAGTTTGTAATTACGAACCCTGTAATTGGGTGCTGTCAGAGTACACTCAAAGAATAGTTTTTTGAGTTGTTGAAATTTTGAAGCATGCATGTTTGAACTAAATCATGCTTCACAATGTTTTTTTTTCACCTTTTAACTTTTTTTTTAACTCAGCGCCTGGCTATTCTGAGCAGATCTTTTGCTGTCTGTTGATAACTTTTCGATACTACATTCCAATCTGGGATATACTTTCTAATTGTACTACTTTTGATAAGCGGCTTTAATTTTTGTTTTGGAAACTGAATACCCTCTTGAAATTGTTCACTGGTTACTGTTGCTGCATGGGCTCAGTTTGTTGTCCGCTCTCTGAGAAGCCTGCATCCTTGCTCTGCGGGTGTTATGGTCGTTACAGGGACTTAGTACAGCTAGTAGAAGCAGCAACCTCTTGCAAAATTTGAAATTAACAACCCTGTAATTCGGTGCTCTCAGAGTACACTCAAAGGATGCAGATCCTATTTCCAATAAATGCTGTTATCTATTATTTTTTTTAAAAATTCGAAGCACCGGAGGTGCGCTACACCCTAGTTTCACTTAAGTTTTTGACTGATATTTGCTTTTATTCTTTTTGCAGTGATGAGTTTTTTGAAAATAAATTTTGGCTTGTCTTTAATTTTTTTCACGAAAGAGGGCGTACAGTCATATGTTCCTGTTAACACTTGCAGGAGCAAGTGTCTTGTAATCGGGAACTAGGCTTTTTTTCCCGACATCATTTTTTTGCACATTTTAAATTTTGCACATTTTAAATTGTGCGTGTGTGTTTTTAGGGAGCGGGAAGTTTAAAATTGTTTATTAGTTTCATTTTTTTTGGATTTCAATTCTTTTTTGTCTTTTTTCGACTAAATATGTTGGGCCTTTTTTACATCGCCTTAATGGCTTTATATAACGCCGTTTGATTTAAATTTTGTTTGTTAGTTTAAAATTTTAGGTTCAAGCTTTCTGCTCAGATATTTTCGGCTTTGTCACTGCTTGGGAAGTTTATTCCGATGCAAATTTTGGTTCCTGTTGTCTAAGCATGTTTTTTCAAATTTATCTTCGTACATTTTGATAGATTTAGTTTTATGTATAATTAAAGATTTTCGATGTTTTTGTTTTTGGCTGATGGTTTTTCGGCTTTTTAAATGTCGATTAAGCTCTTGGTTTATTTTCCGAATTGTGTACACTATCTTGCCTTCTGTACATTTATGGCACTCGTAGATACTATATGAGCAGTACATGGTGTTTAATCAATTTTTTCGCCGAATTATTTCGGTTGAATATCAGCTTCTAGGTTACCGGCTTTAATTCTTTCGGCTTATTTACCAAATATCTTGTTTGCTACAATTTTCCGATGTTTTTTATGAAATCAATAAGACCCTGGCGTTAATTTTTCGAATGTGCAAATTCAACTTTATTGGAACTTCTTAAGTCCCTTATGCTAGACTGCTTGAGCGTCATGTGGTTTTAACCCTGAATTTGTTGTATTGCAAGTGGTCCGAAACTCAGCTTCGCCTCTGTCTTCAACTTTGACAATGTATGTTTGAATTTTTGAATTTGAAAAATAACTTCTCCGACCTTTGAAATTTCTTTAAAAAAATCCTAACAAAGTTTCTATTTTTTTTTAAAAAATTTTTAGCTTTTCAAAAAAGCTTAGTTCGTATATTCTCCTCGATGCTTCTTGGACGGCCTGCTATTTTTATGATATTTCTTTGACAAAAACAATTGAAGTCTAGAGTTTAATCGCAATTTTCTTTGTATAGTTGTCAATGAGTTTTTTCGTCAATTTATTTTTATTCGTCTTTTAGTGCTTTCTAGCCTATGTATTTTTGTAGAACGTTTACTTGTCTAAAGAAGAGACTCGGTTTTAGAAAGCCTCAAGTGTTGTAAAATCAGAAATTACCTTCGATTTTTAAAATCATATTTTGATCGTAACTTTCAGATTTTTTTTCATTTCAGAATAGCAGATTAAGTTCGTTTTAATTATTTGTATCCAGTAAACTTAATGTTTTCCTCTCGGTCTGAAGCTTTTTTTTTAAAATTTGGAAATCAAGTGTAAGCAGGCTAGTGTAATTTATGTGTTTCGTTTTTATACCTACTAAACTTTCTGAAAGCGAGAAAAATGAAATATGATAGTTTTTTCGCCAGCCTTTTTCTTTTGAATAATTTTGTTTGAATGTAGTTCAGAGCCAATGTTCGTCCTCTTTTCTCGTGATGTCTGAAGTTTGTTTGATAATCGATTCAAATGTCCGCACATCGAGTTTTGAGAAAAGTTCAAAACTTTCTGTGTTGTTTCTGCTTTCACAAAATCTCATGTTTGGATTTTTTTATCATCTTTTATCATGGTTTTGTCTGCATTGTTCTCGTTAGTTTTCCTGTTAGCTTAATGGTAGCTGTTGGGCTCCGCCTCAATCAAAATGAGTTTCATGTTGAGACAAACATATGAAAACTTCGTGTTGTTTTTGGGCGATTTTTCATTTTTTTAACGATTCAGTGGCTTTCTGTATCGCAAATTCAGCTAAGCTTATGATTTGTACCTTTGAATGGGGTGTCGTTTGGTTACTTTATCATTATAATGAAGTAAAAAAATTTTTTAAAAAAAATACGCCTTCTGGCTAACTCAAAAATATGATTTTGTTAAATGACATCCCGCCTTTCTGAAAGAATCTGATGTTTTATTGAGCATTATAAAACTTATCATCAAGTTTTCATTTGACTAATTTTAAACACTGTCATTGGTACTTTTTGCGTGGGTTTTGTCTTGAGCTTTTGTTTAGAGCATCTTTTGATCGTGAAGCTGTTTTTATTCGATTTTGATAGTACAAAATTATATTCACCTTTTCTCACTTGTAATTAAATGACTGGCGATAATCAATTAGGAACCTCAACAACTTCGAGAAGTTTTCCCAATTGGCCTAGAGGCAACACAAATGCATTTGAACCCTAAGGTTTGGAGTTTAAGCCCCGGCAGGACCTTTTTTTTTCTGTATGAAAAAGAAAAAAAATCGGGAAAAATTGAATTGGCGGATTTTTGTTCGTCTGTTTATGCTTTGTCGACTTAGTTGCCACATCGGGGATTTTTATTGCGCTGGCAGCAATTTTTATTGTTGATGAAAGTGATTTTGGCTCACTCCTGTAATTTATGAAGTCATCCGCTTTCGTTGTATATTTTCCTTGGTTTTCCTTTCTTTTTTTCGCTTAAAAGCTTTGTTCTACCCACTTGTTGTTGGCTTAAGTGCCGCTCGTTATATACTAAATGCCTATTGAATACCGGTGGTTCTGTTTTTTGACAGTTTTTCGAAATTGTTTTAATTTTACCAATTTTTTTAATCGATTTCGTTATTTCCGTCTCATTTTCTATTCGCTAGCTAGTTCCGCTTTGACTGCCATAAGAACGTTACTGGTCTTTTCGGGGTATAAAGGTTGATTGAAAATCAAATTTTTGGTTTGCGTTAATAGAGTCTGTTTAACACATTCATATGCTACGATATCTTGGGTCGCCTAGATTACAAAAACGCTGATAATGACTAATAACTGCAAGAACACAAAAGCGATACAAGACAAAAAATGTTGAAAGAAATATTTCCTGCTTATGCTAATTAAAAATTGGCAATCGATCCTTTGAATCAACTAGCTATTGTTTTAGGACGAGAAAAACCGGTTCTGTTTTTGCTGCCTCTGTTTCTCCGCAAAGTGTTGCCTCACTAGCTGCTTTTTACAACGATGATTTCATCTCGACAGCTGAAAGGATAAGCTTTTATCTCAAATCGATCGGCGTCGACTATGTTTTTGATTCAAATATAGGACGAAATCTAACTTTACTGGAGAGCGGAAAGGAGTTCGTTGAGAGGTTTCGCGGGAAGTCAGAACACTTTCCTGTTTTTACTTCGTCTTGCCCAGGTTGGATTTGCTATGCTGAAAAAACACACGGAGATTTCATTTTGCCGTTCATATCGAAAGTTAAATCCCCGCAACAAATGATGGGAAGCTTAATCAAGAGACAGTTGGCATCTAGTTTGAAAGTGGATGCAGATCTTGTGTACCATTTTACAGTAATGCCTTGTTTTGATAAGAAACTAGAAGCGCTCAGATCCGATTTTGTAGTTCCTGGAACCGAAATCAAAGAGGTTGATTGCGTTGTAGCGACCAATGAACTTTTTTTGATGATGGCTGAAAGCGGTCAAAGTTTTACGACATTTGAAAAGAAACCATTCGATTCTTTGGTTGACCTTCTAGAGGGCAGATTAAATCGTGAATACACTTTTCGTTCACATGAAGGAAGTGGAGCCGGCGGCTATATAGAGCATGTTTTCAAATACGCGGCTGATCAACTTTTCGGAGTCAAAAATCCGCCCCTGGATTTTGTTGTCAAGAGAAGCACAGATCACAAAGAGTTGTTTTTGAACATTGACGGTGAAATCAAATTGCGTTTTGCAGTTGCGTATGGGTTCAAAAACCTGGGAAACTTTGCTATGAAGTTGAAGAAAAATAATTTGAAGTACGATTACGTGGAGATAATGGCGTGTCCTTCTGGTTGCTTAAATGGCGGTGGTCAATTGAGGTCAGAAACAGCTAATAATAAAGAACTGCTAAATGAAGTCACAGCCAGATACTTGTCACTACCAACTACGAAGCCATCTTTTGATGTCGATTTGAATGATGAGAAATCTGATAGCGCCGATGATGTAAATTCTTTGTTCTTCGCCGAATATAAAAGTGTTCCAAAGATGAATACCAATTCATTGAACATCAAGTGGTAATTAAATAGCTTTGTTTATGAAACAGACAAATTGGTGCATATATAGGTTTTTAGTAGTGTTTAAACATTTTGATACTTCAGAAAATATTGATCTCAACAAAACATGTTTTGATCAAATTAAAATATTTCATGTGGCGCTGATCACCTTGATCTCCTGAAGTCTATCAAATATCGAAGGAGAACATTTTTTCCCCTACTTTCAGGTGATTATGATGCGTTTTGTCAAATTGAGTTGAACTCAGTAGCCGTGTCTCGAATAGACGATGAAGCTCTAAAGCAAATGGAAGTTTCAGAAGGCACAAATAACAAGCGAAGCACAGTTTGTGACAATGATATTGATCAGAATCGTTTTAGTTTACCGTCTGTAACTTCAGATGTTACATCTTCTGGGAAATTATCTGAACATATCGATTTCATAGATCGCTATTTCACTCATTACTTTTGCGACAAAACCAAGTTACTCTTTTTACAACATACCAACGCGTTGATTTGTGTAGTCACTCTGTCAGACGAGCATCCTGTGTTGAAAGCATGCAAAGATACAGTTAGAAATGGTAGCATACAGACAGTTTCAAAAAAATATATTGTCATCATAAATGTTCAAAAAATTCTTTGACATTGAGGTTTTTTATGGATTAAAATGCTCTCTTCTCATCAAAATTTAAAATTTTAATGATTTTTGTCCTCATCGAAATTTAATGTGTTTGTTTTTTTTTCTCAAAAGTGAAGATTTTAGACAATTAATTTTGGAAATTGTCTGAATTATTGAAGCTGATTGTGCAGTAAAAGTGTCTTACCAATTGAGTAATGGAATTGACCGAAGCAACCCGAAAGTGTCTGGAAAAGGGAAGAAGGGAGCCAAAGTGGTCGGAAAAGACGAGTTATTGTGCGAAGTGACAATCGGAGAGACACTGCACCCAATTATGTGCTCTCTATCTGGGTCGGTTATTGAGGTTAGTGCGACGAGAACAAAAATTGGATCAACCGTCAGTCCCCCCCCCCCCCCCCCCCCCTAAGTGACCTACCATAGAATGTCCTTCCCAAGCATGTATTAATTTTGAAAATTTATTCCGCAAAAAATATTCATTTCAAACAAGCGTGCTGAAATACTGCTGGAGATTTTTTCTAACGTTTTTTTACGGTTGATTTTTTTAAGTTCTTCTGAAGAGTCCGTATGATGGTCTTTCGTGTCCCCTTTGCGGACATGCGGTCTTAAATTAAATCTTTGAAGAAATGTAAAAATAGGTCAATTAAACTTGCACAAATTTAGATCTTGGAAGGAAGTGATTAGCTAATTGCTAAATTGTTTTGTTAATTGCAGGATGACTCTTGAAATAATTGACAAGTTTTTAAATCTTGAAATATTGACAAGTTTTGAAATTTCATAGGTAAATGAAAAGCTTGTTGAAAATCCGGAATTGCTCTGGACAGATCCAAGAGGTAGAGGATACATAGCAGTGTTGATGCTAAAGAGGCCAAGACATGGAAAGAGTTTTCTAGAGTCGACCTTCAAGAATATGCAGTTGGTGCATAAGTCGCCGGAAGAGATTTCGGAAGAAGCGGAGATCGAGATCACTATCTCGGATAATTCAACCTCACAGGAAACATCCTCAAATCGAACAGGAACAGTGACGCCCCTTGTTAGCTATTTTTGAAATCGAAAAAACGAACATGAAGGAAATAATCATCATGATCTTAATCATTTAAAAGCAACTAATTTTGCTCCTAATTTTTGCCCTGTTAATTGTAAATTGAAAGATTTTTTTTGCTCCAGCCAAATGTATTAATTTGGGAAGGAATTTTGAATGCAGGTATTTTTTCTCCTAAAGTCAGGTGTTTAAAAGTAACGTCGTTGGAATTTGAGTTGTATATAATATTTAAGTCCTTAAATTTGCGATTCAAGCTGCAATGAAAATTTCAGAAAACATTTTCTGGATGTTCGCTGATGTTTACAAGAAGCACTTAAGTTTAAAGGAGGCGTCGTTGAACAGGAGTAGCTGCGATGCCTGAAGATGAAGGTTGCTCGACTACGGTGCAGACTTTAACTGTGCAATCTTCTTCGTCGTCGTCCTCGGGAAACGCAACTTACACAACCGGTAGAAACCTCGGGTCTACATTTGTTCCAAGTTATACATCCACGTACAGTAGCACGTACTACGATACCTATACATCGAATACGAGTAGTGTCTATTCGAGTACAACTACAGATTCGACAAGTGACTCGGTGACAGGTGTCGGAATCAGTTTGGACGCCACGACAGTGACGGAGTCTAGTTGGTTCGACACGACGACATCGTCTTCGACTACTGTGGCTGTCAGTTCGACATCAACAGAAGATGTTACGTCTGTTACTTCGTCGTCAACTACAAGTGACCAGGCGACAAGTTATTCGACCGAGGAAGTAACGAGCGAGAAAAGCTCAGTTAATGTTGTTCCAAAAATGGTTACGAAGAGGTTTTGATATTGTAGATGGAAATGATATCGTGACTAGACGTGCTAGTTGATCTGAGAGATGATTTTTGTTTTTGTAAATTTGTTGATTATTGAAAGACATCAAAAGAAAAAAAACATTTTTTTACTACACCGCGAGAGAAAACTTAGTTCTAGCCTTGCATACAGATTTTCACATTCAGATTCGAATGTTTTTTTTTATTGTCTGCAATTCTTTTGGCTATAATGATGTCATGGAGGAGACCTAGCTTGTTCAGATGTCCCATTGAGTTCATGGATTGATGTTATGACATTAATCTAGCGTTGAAGTTTTTTGATAAACTTCTGCAATTTCTGTCACTGAGGTGACGTGTTGATGAGGAGTTATTTTAAAGAGTATCGTGGGTTGGAACCCTTTTTCGGTCCTAGTCGGGGGATTTCTTATGGCATGTGCCTTTTCGAGGAGGGAACAGCTGCGGAGAAATGGATGACACTTCTCTCCCCTAGAGGGCCGCCGCGCTCTAATAAAAATGAAAAAAAAAGATTTTTTGGCCAGTTACCACAACACCACAAAACATGTAAAATTGCATTATAAAACCTCTTAAAATTTGTTCACACGGTAATTTGAATGAACGAAAAATATGAATCTGATCACGCTGATACGGTTTATTTAAGTTCAGAACATCAAAAGTCAGTTTAAATAGACTTGGTAAATCTAATTCCAGAAAAAACTTAAAATTGGGAACTCGAAAAGAGCTTGTATCTCGTATAGCTTTCATCTCGCATATTAATCTCGTTATAAACAGGAAACGGAAAAATCTCATTCTTGATTTTGAGAAGTTTTATGGGAGGTGGACAAAGTTCAAATGACGAACTGTGCCAGCTCAAGCGAAAATAGTTTAACGAGCAGTTGATTTAAAGAGCAGATCTTAATCGTAGCTTTTAATTATTCTGCAAACGAAAGTCGGCGTTTCAAAGTATAACTACACAGAGACTGATTTAGTGAGATAAAAGAGCTTTTCTTGCGGTTTTTTTGCTATAATATCGGATCTTTGGTTCTGATCATTTCGAGTTTGTATGCTGCGATCTGAAAATTTTAAATAGCTTTTTAAAGGGAAAATTTGTGTGCCGATAACTCTGAAACAGCTATCTTTAAATCATTCATTTCCATTCTATTTGAAAGTTTTTGGAAATGGTGTAAGTTTTTTTTCGCAGTTTGAATGGATCTTCAATTAATGCCTTGTTGAATGGTAGCATTACTTCCGGCCACCGAAATTTGAATCCACCCCGTAAGTTCAGGTGTCACAACGTCAAATAGTTTAGAATATTATAACTGATGACTTTTCAGTTGTGATTCGAGCTGCCGAGTCATTTTTTTTCGATTTTTTATTTTCCATTTTGATTAAGCTGTCAGTACAAAGAGCTGTAAAATAATAAAAATATGAACTAATATTCAAATTGTCAATATTCAAAGAGCGCAGTGAATTTCATGTTTAGATCATGATGATTTTTTGCTGTTTTTTGTCAAAAAAATGCTTTAAGTTTGGTTCTCGCTCAATTTACTTTTTGCTGTTTCAATTTTGGTTTATTTTAAAGTTTAGTTCTTTTTTCTTCAAAGGAATGCAAACTCCACTACCGAGCGCTAAAAATGTAAAGATCACAAGAAACATGATTGATTTCTAATTTCGAAATAAATATTCTGAATTTTCAGCTGAATAAAAAATTACCTTTTGTTGATCCAGTTGTCAAAGGTATAATTGTAAGAAAAAAGTGCTAATCATGAAAAATTCTTAAAGTTTCAAAAGTTTTAAAGTGATTGACTTTGTTTTTCTACATTCGAAAGTTGAAAAATGTTCAATGTTTTAGGTCACCATTTTTAGGTCTCCTTCTTTAACACTTTTTCAACTATCTGTTGGTCATTTTTTTTTTTCGCCGAGATAACTGAACATACTTGCACAGAATTTTACATTAGTGAGATTTTTTTGAATGTATTGAAGACCTCTTTCCCTTGCAATGAGCAAGGCTTTTGCAATCGGGCACCCGACTTTTTTCCCGTAAATAACTCTGTTCACAGAATGTTTGAAAGTTGAAGTGGTTAATTTAGGTTCAATTCATTTTAAATTAGAAAATTTTCTGCGTCTCAGGCACTCTTGGTCTGGATTTAACAACGATGCCTGGGTTGGCAAAGTTTTTGAGTTAGTATCTGACAGAAATTTTTTCCTTTCAAACAGCAAAATTTATGTTTTTTTGGCTTACATGCCATTTCGTAGAGTTTTTTTTTGCTGTATGCAGTTCACTTTGTAGTTGCTTTCAGTGTTTTGAATTACTAATGCTGTTTGGAATTTTAATAATATGGACTTCGTATGTTTTTTTTTCTTGTTTTATTCTTTTATAAACTTTATTCTGCCCATTGATTTCGGCTTATGTTTTATCGGCTTACTGACCTAATATTGAGTCGTTTCAATGCAAGTATATACATTTTTTTCTAACTCTGGATCGCACAATTTTTCAGATATAAATCATGACTTTCTTGTCGGCTTAATGATTTTGTCCCTAGTTTTTGGTTGTTTTTCGTACATTTTTCCTTACTTTTCTAGAGTGTAAATTTAGTTCATGATTTCCTAGTTTTCAAACAAACTTTTTTTGTAGTTAGGAAAGAAAAATTTTGAAATGAAAAAATAATAATGCTTTAAAATTTCGGGTTTTTCGGATGCAAGGTTTCTGATTTTTTTAAATCTACAAGTGCGTGGAACTAGTTGAAGTTTTTGTATTGGTGTGTTTTAGGATTGAGCAATTTTATTTTGAATCGATTTAAGTTGATTGCATAGCGTATTGTTTTCATGTCAAGTTTTTTCAACAAAGTTTCGAACATTTTCATTATTTACTTTTGACTTGACTGTTTTGTCTAGGAAGATATGTGACAATTTTCCAGCAAGATTCTTGAAAAAAAAAGATTTTTTCTTGTTTTTAATTTCCCTTGCGGGCATTTTTGTCTTTTTTTATTGTTTTCTTTTTTTTTGTTCTGATTCGGATGTTGTAATTTTGCGTTTCAATTTCATGTTTGATAGATATGATAAAATTGGGTTTTAATATTACGCTTCAGTCTTTTCAGATTTTCTGCAAGTTTTTTTTTCGTGGAAGTTGTTTGAAACTTGAGCATTCATTTTCTTGTGTTTTTTGTTTTCATTTCTTATCTTAGCTTAAAGCAGTTTTCCTGTTGTTGTTTATGGCCAATTGTTCCTGCAGGATGTACAGGTTGTTTGGTTGCAAGGTTTTACGCTAAGTTTATGAGTACATTTAGGAACTTTTGGATCTCGATTTTTTCTACCAAAATTTTTTTCTGAGCGTTTTCATCTATTGGTTATGAAAAATAAATTAATGGAGTTTCTGGAGGGCGAGTCCTTCTCATGTGTTAGGTCATTGCTTTTATAGCAATTGCCATAAAATTTTTCCTATCCATTTCAGTTTTTCTTTGGAGACACATTATCTTTTGATTTTTGTATCGAAAGTCGTGCGAAGCTCAGCTGTTTATATAAATGTTTTATATTTTTTCCGTAACTTTTTAATTGGGCATTGTACCTTCTTGGTTTGGCGTTATTGTTAAACTTATCAAGTATAATGGAAATCAGCGTGGTCAAAACAACTCGGTCACTGTCATACATTAATATATGTTAAACAGAATCAATGTAATTAATTCAGATTGATGTCAGATGATGAAAAACTTGATGACGAACCAGTTTCGAAATCAAAAGTGCAGCTGAAAATCAAGGAGGAACCGAAGAAGTATGGTCTGATTCTGAAGCAGAAGAAACCATCTGTTCACGCTTTCACGAATATCTTCAGACCCCCACCTGTGAAAAATGAGGCACAAGAGGGGGTTAGTGTGAAGAAGGAAGACGGCGGAGTGGTTGTGGGAACAGCTGCGGCCGCTTTTCAAAATGAAGACTCGGAAGAAAGTGATCATGTGAGTATTTCAGTCAGAGCTCATATTCTAGTATCTGATTGTGTAATTTGACTTTTCAAAAAGTTTTTTTTCCCCAATAACAAGTAACCATGAAAAAGTGGAGGATTTAAGCTTAATGTTTTCCTGGTGTTCATGTTGATATTTGTGATTTATTAATCGATTTTATGTTGTGCTTGGTTCCATTATCAAACATGCGTGGATAAAAACCAGCTCCCATCGCCTAATTTAAAAGGCCACCCTTTTCTAAATTATTGCCCGTGTGCTTCGCTTTTTAATGCAAGGATGTAGTTACGTCATGAAAACCTTTGATTTGTTCTAATAATCTATATTCAGTTACTTAAATTTTTCAAGTCTATTTGGAACTACATTTGGCGGGCTCGTGGTGCTAAATGTTTTCAGATAAGGCAATGAATACTTAAACATTCCAATTAATGCAACCCCACCGATTTCGATGTCGGCATCTAAACCATCTGACGAGTTGAGCAGTATCAAGTTTATTCCTTCGGCTCGCAAATCGAAAGACACAACTCAATTAGATCCGAATAATTCTGCTACTAGTATCGACTCGTCTGTCCTTGAGTCAGACGAGGACCACTATCTCTACACAGGTAGAACTGTCAGCGCTTAACATTAGAATGTGATTTTTTCAAATATTTTTTTGAGAATTAATTGTTTCCGATCATTTTACCAAGTAGGAAAGAACTATGGCGTATGGTGGTGTATTCCTCCCAATTTTTGGTTATTAAGAAAGGGAAAATAATTGTGGGTCTTATGCAGGAAAAAGCTAATTCAGATTCAAAAAAGTTCAACCCAACCGATTATTGTCAAGAAAAGTTGGATTGATTTTTTTGTTTTTCTTGAAATGAGAGCTTGAAATCTCAATGTAGTTCCAAGATTTTAAGAGTGTCGCAGCTTTTATAAATTTTCATTCTTGTAATTTTTTAAACCATATTGAAAAAAAAATATCAAAAAGTTCGCCTTGATCATTGTGTTTGGGACATTCCGTGCAGCTTGCTCAGCAACTGGATA